TTTAAATAACTTCAGTACAAAGCAAAAACACAGGGTAATGATTTGGAGCCTATTTAAGTTATAATAATATTTGTACAGGCTGCTTGGCAAGAATGCTGCTAGATGGCAGGAGCTCAGTGAAACTATAAAGGTTCAGTAATGGCAAGAGATTTGAAACAGGATTAAATTTTCTTTTTAAATAGCTTTTATTTTAAGATTTTGAAGCATGCATAACTTCATCTTCTTTTTTTCATTCATCAAACACTTATTTTGCTGTATTCTGAAAGGAGCTATAAATGAAAACTAGTATAGTTGGTTTTCTAGCTAGGCTACTGAGAGTTGCCCAATCAATGTCAGCTTTGCAGGCCTGTGTGGAATAAGTTAGTTTGCTCAAATCATTCTGTAGTGTATCTTAAATATCCATCGCAGGGTCTAACTAGAACCCTTTCTGGATATCTCAGCAGAAAAGTCAAGGACTGAAGGTCATGGAAAATGAATTGGACTCTGATTTCTGAGGAGATACTTCATACCACGATTGAGGTATATCAACCAGGCAAAATAGCAGAAGCTTCAATGCTGCTAACATGCTGAACTAGTTTTGAGGAGGAGGTAATTCCCTCAGAGCTGTCAATCTCCAGCCTATCACAACCACATAATTTACACAATCCCTCCCTTCTGCTCCTCCCCTGAAATTAGAAAGCAAACAGAAATCCCGAACAGCTTAATTTATATAAGGCGATGTCATCCCCCCATAAAAAGCTTGTTTGTAAGCAGTATCATTGATCTGGCAATACTTCCTTAAAAAAAAAAATTAAGCTGTTGTACACAGCCAACAGATCCAGAACTAAATGCTGCTTTGGTGGGACCCACATTTCTTGGATAATTAGTGGCACTTTCAATGGATGATTTAGGGAGGGGGTCTGAATATCTTTAATAATCAGAGCTCTACATAGAAATCATAATTGTGCACACAAATCACAACTTTTATTCATTTGCACATGTGGTTACCTACATTTTAAGTTTAAGTCAGGTCATTGCACAGAAACTGAGAGTGCAGGTGCATAGACCAGTCCCTTTAGACTCTTAAGGAAGTTTCAGTATCAGGTAAAAACCATTTTGAGGTAAATCAGAACCTAGAGATCTTTTAAAGACTAGTGGAGCTTAAAAGAGGAGAGCCACCTCCACAAAAGCTCCCATATGTTTAACTACTCTATCCATCCTCTCCCTCTTCCCACATTACATCTGCCAAACATCATTTTAGATCAAAGTTTACTTTTGCTCCACACATCAATGCCAGTACCTCACTCCACTAATTACAATTTGTTTATATCAGACATTATGAATCATAAAGCTCAACTATTTGAAGGCCTGTACTCATGATGCAGAGTCTTATGTGAGTAGGAGAGATGGAAAAATACATCTGATACCAAGTGTACACTTCCTGTGCATTGAACTGCCTGGGTTGCTAGGAGGGTAACTAGCCACTGAATCACTGGGACAAAGAGTGCTTTGGAGACTAGGGACAGAAGTGACACACAAACCAGTTTAGGTGATCAGAAACTATTTTAAACCTGTAAGAGAACAGAAGTTTAGTGCACATAAACTGGCTTCAAAATAGCTGAAACTGTTTTAAGATAAACCTGGTTGAATGTAGTATTAGACTTAACTGATTTGGGTCAAACCAGTTACTTCTGTCCCAGACCCCTTCCTGGTTCAAGTTAAATCAGAGCTCCCCCAGCATCCCAGCAGGCTTTGAAGCCCTGAGCTAGGTTGGGCTAGGCTGTCTGCTTGAGCAGAGCAGGGTTGGCCCTGTGACTCTGCTCCCTAGCTGGTACAGTGAGGACTGGCTGACAAGGGGGTAGGGGTGGGAAACCTGGCTGGCACTGCCTGGTCTGCCAGACTTTTCCCTGCTGGAATGGAGCAGGTAGGGGATATGGGCCAGCAGCTTCAGGGGAAGGGAAGGGGATTAAACCCCGCTGCCTCCCCTCTCCCACCCACATGGGACCCCAGCTCAGGTTTGCCTAGTTTTCCACCCTGCTCACCACTCTAGTGGCAGGGGGCATGGCAGATCCTGCCTGGGTGGCAGCCTCAGGTGAAGGGGGGGGCAAGGAGGGGAATTAAACCCCCCTGTCTCCCCTCTTTCCCACTGGTATGGGACCCCAGCTGGGGTCTGTCTGGCTTTCCACCCTGCTGGCCACTCACGTGGCAGGCAGCATGGCCAGAGCTGGCCTGTGCAGCACCTCAGGTGAAGGGGGGGTAAGGAGGGGGATTAAACCCTTCTGTTTCCCTTCTTTCCCACCAGCACAGGGACCCCAGCTGGGGACTGCCTGGCCTTCCCCCCCCCACTGGCCACTCATGTGGCAGGGGCATGGCCAGAGCCAGGCTGGGCAGCAGCCTCAGGCCACGCCCCATGCCACACAAGCAGCCAGGATGGGGGGAAAGCCACGCAGACCCCAGCTGGAGTCCCTGTGCTTTCCCCTCCCCCCACTTCACCTGAGGTGCTGCCCTGGCCGATGTCTGGCCACCCCCCCCTTGGGGACAAACCTGGCAAGGGTTGCTTCCCCTTCCCCCTCCAGGCACACCCCAGCTGGGGTCCCTGTATGGCAGAGTGGGGGTTTAAAAACCTCTGCAATCATACTTAGTGCCCTGCCAGGGTCTGCCACCCCCTCTCCCTGCTCAGCTTCCCTCCAGCCTTGCAGCTGCTGCCAAAGGGAGGACTCATTCTAGTGCCGCCCCCTCCCTGGCTTCTAGCCTGAGGCACTGCAGACATGTGGCTGCATTTCCAGAATCAAAAGTGAATGTCTATTCACTTGCAAATTGGTTCAATCTATGCATATTAGACTAACCTGCAAAGATTGAATCAATTCAGTTTCAGGCTTTCTGAATGTCTGTATTTAGGCAGTGAATTCAACCAAATGAAGTCCTCTAGAAATTAGTTGTGAAACAAACAAAAATAACCCAAGTTACCAACCATGCAGGTACACGCCCACACACACACACACACACACACACACACACACACATATACATGTAATGTGAAATAACAACCACAATGCTGTTTGCTCTCCTAGAACATTATGTCCTCCTTTCTTTTTCTGTGTTTTGTCTATTTAGACTTTTACTCAAAGTTTTTATGATGCTTAGTAGGTTCATGGGGCCTCCGAATATGACTGCTGTACAGAGCCACAATAACAAAGTAATTCCAATAGGCAGTAAGTATAGCATAGACTAGTTTTGTTTGACTGCCTAAAACTGAGTGCAGGAACAAATGCATATCAGGTCACTCACTCCACCTCAGTATTCACATAAGTAAGGCTTTTTTTCTCCTTTTGGCAGCAATACCCAGTTCCTTGAGTTTACACAATATATGGATGATGATGATCCAGCAGCAATTCTGTTCTAGTAAGGCTTTACCAAAATAATGATTAAGACTCAGTTATATTCCTTATATAGAACTGAACACTTTAGTATCAGAAGATTTTTATTCCAAGCATGTGTCAATGAGCTTTAAAATGCCCTATTTCTTGATGCAAAAACTGCCCAGACAAGCCCATTCTGATTAAGCATGTACAACATAGAAGAAAATTTGTAGATGGCTAATGGTATGAAGGTTACTTAGTGAAATGGTATGTCTCTCTGCAGGACCACAGGGAGGCAAGCTAATGAAACATGTATCGATAATTCAAAACACTGTCCATCTTGTAGAGGATCAGATATCCAGTAAAAACTGTTGTTTGCTTTAGGCTCAACACAAAACCACTGTATATAGTATGCTTTATACATCCCACTTACTGATCTGGCATCAACAGTCTAGTCTGGCTGTCAAAAAGAAAAGATTTCTGGGCCTTACAGGAATTATACAGTCTAAGTACAAAGAAAAAATCCTCTATAATTTCAGTCAGGCAAACTCCAGCTGATAACAAGAACAATTTTTAAACCCATTTAAAGTTCTCTGTTTCATGTACATATCTAGTATTCGGCATCATGAGAATATTTACATAAAATCAAAAGTTATTATGGTGTTTTATGAAAACTATCTAAAGTCTGTATGCCATGAACTTCTCATACAGCACACAATAATTCTTATAAAATGGAAGATTGGATGAATATAGTTGAAAATGCAGCACAACACAGTTTATGTTTAAGCAAAACAATGTATTGCCTAAAAATAACCACGTTTTCCTCATTACAGTGATCACTTAAAAATATGGTGCACCATATTTCTAGAGTCTAAAACAAAAATGTTTGTCACTCATTTTGCCGAGGTCTCACTCTCCAATCTTCCTTTCAAAGTTTGAGGAATAAGATGTCAAGATCCTTTCCTCAAGAGCAGCATTTAGCTCCCTGGTGAGTTTCTTATGCACATGTGTTGGGAGTTGGTTCAGGGACTGTCTTGGAGAGAACCTGCTGATGTGTTTGAGTTCTTGGAGAGCATTTCATATGACTCAGTTCAAATTTGGATGCAACTTTGTTTACTTAAGAAAAAGAAAGAGCTAGATAAATCTTTCAGGATACAAACAAGGGACTTTGTTCCCCTCTTCTTGCTGGGTAGGGGCAAAATCCCCCTTTCTCAATTTGAATGAAAGTACCTTATTAAGATTATCCTTTTACGATCTGGGTAAACTGAGGCAAAAGGGATTGGCTACCAGCTTTGCTGGGGCTAAACCCTTCCCAGCAGGGCTTTAAATAACCCAAACCAAATACATTAGTGTTTAAAAAGTGGAACACTTTTCAAACCCTTTTTTCCATACTGGTTATTAGCTAGAGACTCCATTCTCATTACCGCAATAACTTTATCTAGGGAGACAGGAGTAACATCATCTAACTGCCTGACTGTACAGAAAAAGCAGAGTTTTGCTCTGCAAGCATGAAAGACAGTTGTACCTTTCAAACAACTGTCTTAATGTGTAACTTGGGCTTAATTCAAGTGTTGCACCCTTCAGTTTCATTTAGTTCCAAGGTTTCTTGTCTTTAATGGCCAAAGCAAAGATCCTGAACTTTGTTTACTATGTAACCTGTCACTTTGATACAAAACCCAAAGCCTTTTTCCAACTTTCAAGAAAAGAAGACAAGACGTGCTAGTTTTTCCTGGCATTTATTTCTGCTTTGCAAAATCTATTCAGACTCAGACAGTTACTTTTGAACACTAGGAATAGGTGTTAAATTGAGATTATGGTAAACAACAAATTTCTTTGGTGAGGGAAGAAATTATTTCAGGAAGACACAAGCGAATTAAGCAGTTACATGTCATTTACTGTATGTGTTGATCAGAAAGTGAGTGATGAGCTCCTTCTCAAGGGTAGCTGGTCCATGGAATGCTATATAACTCTAACACTAAGAAAAAGAAAGTCATATGTTAAACTGAAATATATCTACTTATAATTATATATAATGAAATAGGCACTTCCCCCCACTTTTCATTTCCAAATGGAAAAACACAGGATCAGATCTTTCTTGGCATGCTTGCTATTTTATTTATGTTTCTAAGAGTAATGCAGTTTCAAACTTTTTTCTCTCACACTTATTTTCATTATGATTGTGACAGCTTGCTTCTGTTAAGGATGACATTAACTTGCCTTTTAACATGTCATTGCTGAGATCAATGTTTCCCTTACTAAGAAGGGAATAACACCTTTGTTGACAAGGTCTACAGCATTTAAACTGTGTTTGGTAACAAGCTCTGATGATCCACAAAAAGTTTAATGACTACTACAATATTGTGTGGAAATAGCAAGCAATTGTTCTTTATTGGCTGTATGTAGCTCTTATTTAGTAATGCTAATTAGACACTAATTATAACTTTTACAGATTGCTTGGTAGTTATACTTAGTAGATACTGAAGTAATTACTATAGATCATATCCTCCCTTCCCACATAAAAATGCATGGAAGGGTAGATTTATCTTGAAACAACCCAAGTTTTCAAGTGCCACTGCCTGCAGACGTGGAATTAACTCTCTGTAAGGTAGGTCACATCAACAGGGTAGAATTGGCAAGGCATGTAGCCCGCCAAGATAGCTAGGGATTGAAAAGCCAGGAAAGAACAATCCTATGCATCCTTCTTGCCACTGACCTCCCCTTCTACTGGCTTTTGCTTGGCACGCATTAGAAATATATGCTATTCAGTGATTGCCATCTGCTTATCTAGCATATCATGTGACTAGAGATGTGCCACATGGTTGAGCACTAGGAAACACATTTCATATCAATGACCTACAGGGAAGAATATGCACGTGAGAAAATTTGCCATTTATTTTATTTATTTAGCTATTTACACATGCATTTTATATGCCACCCTTCCCAACAAAGGCTTAGGGCAGCTTACAGCAAGAGAAACGCATTTAAAAGGGCAACTAGAATAAGTAAAACAAAATAACAAAATAAAATAAAGCAGAGACCTGCTAAACAATCTCTTGGGTTAGTTTTGGTTGCTAAATGCCCTGCCCAAACAGAAAGGTTTTCCAGCACTTCCAAAAGATGCCCAATGTCAGGCTTGGAGGCCTGACTTCTAAGAGTGACCTCCCATGCAATCAGAGTCAGTGTACTGATGGTACTTGTAGCAGATTACTCTCATCTGACCTTAGGCTTTGCAAAGGGGCACAGGGGAGAAGGCCGTGAAAAACTGAGGATTGTTTTGGGAAGCAGGTCAAAACAATGGAAATGTGTGTCAAAAAATCATACTAAGTTCAGACATGAAATGCCTGCATGAAGGAAAATTAAGTTATATTTATTTAATAGAGACAAGATATAAACAGATTGGATTATTATAGCAGAAGGAACAGCGAGCAGTATAATGTTTTAGTAGAGACTTACAGGTGGTTAGAAGTATTTACAGAGGAAGTTACTTTTCCTTTGCTACATTCTCCTTTAAACCCCTTTGTGCTGTCTCTTAACCTTCCCTTTAAAAATATGGGTTTTCTCTATCACTTGAGGGCTATATGCCTAGCTTTTTTTTCTATAACATATATCAACTCATACACCAAGTTTAAGTTAGCTAGTGTTCTATGGAAATGGAAGTTGATTTAAGCATTTTAAAAACTTAGGTGGATTGAGGCCACTCATTTAAAAAGTTGCTTTCAGACAGTGCAGTTTTAAGAAAAAAGTAAGTGCCTTTTCAGTTAATACATGACTAGTGGGATACTTTGCTCAAATTTGAAATATTTGTTTCATGCTAATAGCCTTATCATGAATAAGTAGAAATATATCGTAAAAATAATCTTGAATGCTCCAAACACTCAGGATGTAATTTCAATTGTTTACAAATGCTTCATTCTTTGTTCTTCAAATGATACCTCCCAGACATAGATCTTGACATAATAAATAAATAAATAAATAAATAAGTAGAGGTTGTGGCTGATTAGAAGTGAAAACAAGCCCTGGTTTGACATGTTATCTTGATTGGGCTTATCAAAGTTCACATCATTCTAGTCCCAATTTATGTTATGTGTGGTATATATCTTTTTGGTTGAACAATTACATTATTCTAAACAATTATATTGCTATGATACACATAATGCGTGGCTCCTGAGCATAAAGTTCTTTAATGATGGCAGACTGTAAAGTGGTACAGTTCACTTTTAAAAGGTCATGCATCTTTTTTCAGTAGATTAACATTTTATCTCTTAATGGTGTTAAGAAAAGGTCAAAGATTCTAACAGATGGAATATGGAAAGCTTCTATTGAAGAAGATCAATGTGTTAAGCATCAATATAAGTCCAGAAACATAGCCATTTAATGACTATTGTTCTTGTTTTATTTTAAATTATCACTAACCTGACTATTGGAATGCTAAAATTAAATTTTCATGTTTGTAAAGGAATGATTTTGTTCCTGCACAGATGCTTATAATCTATAGGATAATTATGTTTTTTATTTGTACAATATTTCCTTGCTGTACAAAAAAAAGGACCCTCAAATAATTAGTTTACCCTTAGGCTAACAGCCTAACATTGACATCTAAATGAATGTGGAAGAATGATCTCCAATGGCAAAAAGGGAGTTAATGTTATATTAGTTTAACTGAATATGTTTGCAATAATTAGATGGGATATGAAATTTAAATTGCTTAGCTCCTAAAAAATATGCTGTTAAAGAGAAACTTCTGACCTTGGTGGTAATAGAGGCTTTACTTATTATAAGAATGTTCAAGATATTTGTGTAACAGATCTATTTAACAGTAGAAGATCAAAATGTTTTTGGTCCAGACCTGGCAAAGATTTATGCGCAGACTTAACTCTAAGCATGTGAATAGTCCCGTTGACTTCAAATTTAGAGTTCAGAATTTGCAAAGTGCTTGCAATAGACTGTACACTCTTCTGAGCTATGGGTGTAGCTATGTCAGTGTTGATAGAATGTCCACCAGAATGAGCTACAGAAATGAATTCCTGAATGCTATTATAATTAGGGACCACTGGAATTTGTGCCAGAAGTGTACTGCATGGTGGCTTCTTTAATCTTGGAGTTTTTCCCATGTGCTCCCCAAGTGGTGGAGCCACTGCAGCCCCTCCACCAATCAGCAGTGGGAGGCAAAAACTGTGGCATATTTAAAACCAGTTTTTGCCTCCTTGCTGATCAGGGGTGAATGGCAGGGCCGGTGAGGCCACTTTGCTAATCAATAGTGGACAGTGGGGGGGAGGAGGGGAGGGAGAAGGAGGTATGCAGGGGAAACTCCAAGATTAAAGGAACCACTGTGCAGTGCACTTCCAGCGCATATTCCAGTGGTCCCTAATTATAATTTAGCTGTTGAAAATAATAGTCAAAGTGCTGGAAGTATCTTAAAGAAAGTCATCAAATAGTTTTTGAAAATTGTTTGAGTCCAAGCAGTATACATATGTATTTTTCATGTTTACTTATTTTTGAAGCTCCTGCTACCCCCAGGCAGTCTCATATTTTCTCATATGCAATACACAACTTTTTTCCTAAAAGTGAGACCCCCAAATCTTGGTTGTGTGTGTTAAGCAGGGAAGCTGATATGCATGGCATACACCTGCCAAGATGGTTGCTGCTCATGTCTTGCTCAGCAATCTGAAGGGACGGACTCCTGTATTAACCTCCTCATGGCCATAGCTATTTGCTAAGCACTGTACCTTACGTCTGAAGGAGCAAGTGAGCTTCTGGTAGTACCTTGATGAGGCTTGTGATGTGGAAACAACATTTTATTGACAGGAACTTATACAAAGAACTACTTACAGTAGAGTACTGCCCTTGCAAGGACCTGGGGCCTAATCCTTTGTGACAGAGTAAGTCCTCCTAAAAGCATAGGATGTCCCAGAATTCTGGAGACATAGAGTGTCTGGAAAGTGTGGAATGCCAGAAGATAGTCTAGGTGAGGTACCTGGCACAAGGGAGTTCCTGTTGCCTGCTGATTCACCCAGACTGTTTCCTGGAATGCCACACTTCCTGGATACTCTATGTTCCAAGGAAGACTTACTCTATGTCACACAGTGGTCATGACACTGGAAAATTATTTTTTTCTACACTCTGCCTTCCAAAAACAAAGTGTGTGTTTTATTTTGGGGCACACTGTATGCAAAAAAAGTGTGAATTTTATTTGGAGGTGTGGCGGGGCGTATGATGTAAGAAAATAGGTATGCCTGCAAAATGATAGCACATGGAGAATAGGAACTGATTTCATAGATTTCATAGACATTAGGGATGGAAGGGACCTCAGGAGATCATCTAGTCCAGCCCCCTGCCCCAGGGGCAGGAAGTCAGCTGGGCTCAAAGGATCCCAGCAAGATAAACATCCAAATGTCTCAAAGAAGTCCAGACTAGGTGCTTGCACCACCTCTGAAGGCAGTCTGTTCCAGGCCTTTGGAGCTCGGACAGTAAAGAAGTTCTTCCTTATGTCTAGTCTGAAATGGTCTTGGAGGAGTTTGTGACCATTTGACCTTGTCATCCCTTGGGGCGCTCTGGTGAACAGGTGTTCCCCCAGATCAGGTTCCCCCTGAGCCTGCACTCTTCCAGGCTGAGAATTCTTGCTCCTTGGGGATCATACATGAAAAAGTTCAATCAATATGTTATACTGATTGAGATAGGAAACAGGCCTGTTGACAGTCTCTGGGTTTGGGTCACAGGGGAGAAAGCAACAAGGGTGATGATCATGGTGGGGGTCTGCCACAGACCACCAGCCCAGGAGGATGAGGTGGATGAGGCTTTCTTCAAACAGCTAGACCAAGTTTCTAGATTACAGGCCCTGGTTCTCATGGGGGACTTCAATCTCATGGGGGACCCCCATCACTTCATGACATCCGCTGGAAGGTCAATACAGCAGTGCTCAGGCAATCGAGAAAGTTTTTGGAGAGTGTTGGGGCAACTTCCTGGTACAAGTGTTAG